TCGCCAGAGTGACATATGGTGCGGGCACACTGGGGCCCCCCGATGGCTGAATGCGATGCGATAGATAGCAGCGGCTTGCACGCTCGGGTTTGGCCTCCCCGCGCGCTCCCGAAAGCCGCGCACCAGAGGTCACTCTTGCCTGGGGTCACTCCTGCGTGTAGTCGAGCAGGGCAAGCTCCCGCGCTTCCGCCTCTTCGGAAACACCATCAACACCGCCGCCCGCATGATGCAGAAGGCGCCGATCGGGCAGCTGCAGTTCGGCGAGGACACGCGGCAGGACGTGCCGGTCAACATGGCGGCGCAGGTCACGGGGCCTTACGAGGTGGAGATGAAGGGCAAGGGGAGGGTGCAGACCTACCGGTTCCCAGCCACGCGCATGGGGGTGTATGGGGAGGGGGAAGGCTTCTTTGAAGCACCCCTGCTTCTTAGAAGGCGCCGGCCTTGTCTGCATATGTAGGGCCGGCGCCTTCTAAGCAGGGGTCTTTCTAAGAAGCCTTCCCCCCTTTCCCTACCCCCCTGTGCGCGCCGCCAAGGTTCACACCAGGAAGTGATTTCAAGGCAGCCGCGACCTTCACCTCGCAGACGACCATGAACACGAGCAGCCTGTTTGGTGCCGTGAAGGCCATGGCCCTGGCGTCGAAGGTGGTCAAGATGCGGGCCTTGATGAAAAGGGGCGCGATTACAGTCGACAGTAGCTCGACATCTAGGCTGCTGGACACCGAGGTTGACAAGCGCTTCCGCGCCGCCGTCGGCGACACCCTTGACAATGACGACGTCGAGGGAACGCCCTTCGCGACCAACTGGCACGTCATGAGTGAGAAGAAGGACTTCACCGTGGAGATGGAGGAGGAGTTCGGCCACTCGCAGAGGGGGGGAGGGGGAGGGGGAAGGCTTCTTAGAAGCACCCCTGCTTCTTAGAAGGCGCGGGTCTTCTCTAATATATGCAGAACCAGTGCCTTCTAGGAAGCAGGGGTCCTAAGAAGCCTCCCCCCTCCGGTCACCCCCCTGTGCGCGCCGCCGAGGAGTGGAGGCAACAGCACCACGAGGATCACATGGGCAGAACCCTCGGACCGCGCTTCGGGCTGGAGAGCGTGCTCCTCCTGCTCGTCTCGTGCTACGAGCTGAGCTGCATGTTCTCGGACGAGGTGTGGAGGTACGACCACCGCCTGTACCGAGGCAAGTTTCGGGATGCCGTGTACGTCTACTGCAGGGGGGCCGTGCTCTTCCTCACCATCGCTTGGTGGTGCGAAGGTTAAATCGGGCATGTCCCTCTACAGGAGGATTATCAAAAAATAGCAAAACAAGTTTTGGACCGAATTCTGACTATCTTTGACTAGTTTTATTTTTGGGGATTCTTTTAAAATTTCTCTTCCAAAATCCGCATGTAGGAGGACGTGTCCGACCTAGCACAAAGGGAGCGGACAATGACATAAGCACAAATTTTCGGAGGTCCACGCGGATTTCTCGGACTGGCGATGGGGCCCCCTGGCGGCGCCTCCGGCGCCGCCCTTGGCGCGCTCCGCGCGCCAGGGAGGGGGGGGTCCAGCGCCGATCCGAGAAGTCCACGCGGACCTCCGAAAGTTTATGCTTATGTCACTGTTCGTTTCCCAAGGTACGCTGCCGACACAAGGCGGGGCCAGAAGTGGATCCGAGAGCAGCGTGGCACCGTCGCGGTGTGCTTTGTTGCTACCTACTGCCTGAGCGCCTTCCTGCTCTACATCTCCTACGACGCGTTCGTCTGCAGCGACACGAAGAACTACAGGATGAAAAACGACTTCTACAAAAACGGGTACGAGGCGCCGCACGACCAGATCTACATGCTGAATTTCTTGCTCATTTTCTTTTTCATGTCCCAGCAGCACGCGATGCTTTTCTGGCCGTCGCTAAGCTTCGTAGCCGTTGCGTGCACGATCGCGGTCTTGGACCCGATTCTCAATGCACTCGAGAGGCTTTGCGCCATTTCGCTGATCCCCGAAAGGTAGGCGGAGAGAGTGTGAACTGGGCTTCACGGGTTGCCCGAGTAGAGTACAGCGCAGGAAGAACACGAAGAGCGATATGATGCCCAGGAGTGGCAGGCAAGCAAGGGGATGGGAAGAATGGGGAGGACGTTTGAAAGTCTTTGCGGTAATTTACTCAGGATTAGGGTTAGGCTCTCTCTTGGGGCCTCTCGGGGCGTTTGTGTTGGGTAAGGGCCTCTGGAATTCTTTCTGAGGGCTCGTGGGCGTGTTGGGCCCCGTTTGGAGAAGCCTTGGCGGGCGTCTTGGAGGCGTCGGAGGGTCGATTGGCAGGCTTTGAGGGCCCGAAAGGTGGGTTGAGGAGCTCGTATGCCCCCCTCTCTCTCTAACAGGATTTCGGACCGCCTGGGAGGGGGAGCAGGAGCAGGGGACAGCCGAATATCCAACACGCTTTCTCGCGCTCGGCAAGCGGGGGGTCGGCGGATACTTTGGGCACGCGCCCGTTGGGAAGTCGACAGTTGAAAGGTTTGAGGCGCCGATCGGCTTCCTGGGGAAGATCATGCTCATCATCCAGGCTATCCTGAACACCATTGCTTCATATACTGACGAGCAGCAGAGCCGCAAGCGATTCAAGCAGCAGAGGGCGTACTCGTCCACCAGAGACAAGACCGAGAGGATCCTCAGGACGCTTATGCCCGAGATGGTGGTCCAGGACCTAAGTCGCAACCCAGAGATTACGCCGTCGCACGCGTTCCTCCGGGCCACCGTGGCTCAGTCGGACCTCTGCGGCTTCACCCAGCTATCCAGTACCAAGACCCCAGAGCAGGTGGTCGGGTTCATGATGGAGTTGTTCGGTAGGTTCGACGTGCTCACTGACAAGTACGGGATATACAAGGTGGAGACGGTGGGCGATGCCTACATCGCGGGGATGGCGGAGAAGCCACTTACGAACGAGAATAGCCCCATCCTCGTCGTCCTTTTCTCCCTAGACATGGTCCGCGAGGTGGATAAGTGGGCGAAGCAGCAGGGGGGCATCGGGGTGACGTGCCGCGTTGGCGTCGCCCACGGGAGGTGCCTCGGTGGAATCGTCGGCGACACCATGCAGCGCTACCACCTCTTCGGGCCCCTGCTCACTCAGATGGAGATCCTGGAGTCCACGGCCCCGGAGGGGCGCGTGCAGGTGAGCCAGGCTCTCAAGAACGAGATCGACGCTCAGCGCGCCGATGGCGCCCTCAGTTCGGCGGAGCTCCAGGAGAAAGTCGACTTCGAGCTGCGCGAGGGAGAGCTGTGCACGTCCAAGGGGGAGGTCCACGCTGACGATTCGGTGCGTGGTAGACCCTACGTCGTTACCAGCGACAAGCCGCTGAGGTGCGAAGATTAGGTCGGCCTAGCAACGGCAGAGCGTCAGTAGCCGACGCCTGCGCCAAGACTGCCCGAGTTAGATGAAAGGGGGCACAAAGGGGTTGGAGGAGCGAGTTGCGGTTGAGACCTTGCGGGTGGAGGTGCGGATGGAGGTTCATGCGTGACACTTCGACCTCCCAAGGGTGAGCTGACCAGGGGTTCACGGGCCCGTTCTCGCCGTGCTTGCAGGGACCTCTCAAGCGAAACGCTTGTTTTGGCGGGGTAGACACGTTTATTTTCAGATGCCAAACTGTCATCGCGATGCAGAGGCATTGTTCTTGGGCTTCCCAAGGGGCTGTTGACCAATGCTGACCAGGGATCTGGGGTGTTTCCCGCAGCCACTGGAGCCTTCGGTGAAGCTCCCTACGGGCCCCTCAAACGTGTGAGGGGTCTGCGAAAATGGTCGGCGCGGCGGCATGCGGACGCATCCACTTGGGCCCTCGCTGGAGCTGCCTATGCGTCCCCGAAGCGTGTGAGGGATGTGCCAAAATGGTCGGGGCAGTGGCCTGCGGACGCAGCCACTGGGGCCTTCTGCGGAGCTGCTTGTGGGGACATCAAGTGCGTGAGGGGTGTGCCGAAATGATCGAGGCGGCGGCATGCGGACGCATCCACTGGGGCCCTCGGTGGAGCTGCCGGTGGGGCCCCGAAACGCATGAGGGGTGTGCCGAAATGGTCGGGGCGGCGGCATGCGGACGCAGCCACTGGAGCCCTCGGTGGAACTCCTATGGGGCCTCCCAGGTTACAGGACCCCCCCACGAATGACCAGACTTGCCCCAATATTGGTTCACTTGTATTCAAGCCCAATCGTACCCAGACCCGCCTGTATTCAACAGCGCGTGCGCAGGCTCACTCACGCCCAAGATCATTTACATCCAGGCGCTCATGTGCACACTTTCTCAAACCCAGGCGCCCGTCGTCAGGCTCTCTCACACTGTTTCACTTACAGTATCCCCAGACGTGCAGAAAGGAACGCGCTTGAAGCGTGGCGCACAGATGGAGATCTCCGCGGCGAGTGAGTTTTGTGCCGCTGTGCTTTTGTAGCTGGGGCGTCCTGGTAAAATAGTCATCGATCGGAGTTGATCGGTGCGGTCGGCCCTGAGAATAGATACCCTAGGATGCCCTCACGCCGTGGAGGGTGCCATCAGCAGTTCGCTGGACTACCCATGTGCAAATGCAATGGTGTGATTCCTCCGCATGGCCATTCTCTCCCTGCTCGTCGTCCTCTTCGTCCTCCTCTTGCTGGTCCACCTCTCTTCCTGTCCCTCATCCTCCAACGCTCCACCTCCTCCTCCTACTTCTCTTCCACTCTTCCTCCTGTTCTGGTTCCTCTCCTCCTGCCAGTAGGATCCCGAGAGCCATACCTCCTTCTGCGAGTGCGACCGCGACTGGGCCGATCCCGAGTGCGGCACCCAGCGGAAGTCGCAGGCGGTGGCTTACATGCTGTCGGTCTTTCTTGGCGCCACAGGGGGGGGGGAGAGCAGGCCTGGGCATCCTTCTACAGCTCTTCCTTCTCCCGGTGCTGCCCTCTGTGTTCGGCACCATCAGGGGGAGGGCAGGCCTGTCCTAAATCACCGTGGTGGAGCGGTTTGGGGAGGAGGGCTAGGTGGGGGCAAGGACATTCGGTAACGAGCGGAGCAAATTGCGGAGAGGAAGATCGGGAAGCGAGCATCAGAGATCGCAGCACAGAAGGTCCCGAATTTCCAAATCGAAGCTTGCATGAGCTTGCCCAACCCAGACTGGAGGTTCTAATCTGAAGAATGGATGGATGGAAGTCTGAATCTTCCGCTGTGGATGTGAAGTTTGGAGGTTTTGGACCGACCGTTTTAGACTACAAAGCATTCATGTTGTTGTTGCGCGCCCGCCTGTCGCGCGCTGCGCTCTTGCAAACAGTAAGCGGACGGCAAGCAGGTCGGACGATGGTCGACCGCCCATCATGCGCAGGCTTTCGTCAAGGATGGTCTCTCTCTCTCTCTCTTTCTGTCTCTGTCTCTGTCTCTCTCTATTTCTCTCGCTCTCTCTCTCTCTCTCTCTTCGTGCGTACGCGACGGAATTCTTCCGATATCTCTGTCATGATCTCCGCCACTCGCCAGCTTCAAGACGGGGTGGCAGGCCCCCTCGGTGCGGACCAGTTCTACCTGGGCTCGTCGGGCAACGGCCTCCTTAAGCTTCTCACGCTGGGCGGAGGTGGTCCCAGTGCTGCGGGGGATCCGCGGAGCTCGCTCTCCCGTGGAGCGGAGCGCTGCGACCACGCGCGGAGGAGAGCGAGCACACGAGCACGCGAGGAGAGGCGGAGGAGGCGGATTGACGGGGAGAGCAGGAGGAGCAAAGAGGCAATAGCTTGGCACCGCTCGGACGTGTGCGTTTTCCTCGGCAAGGGCCATCGAAGCGCATTTCGGGTCATTTTGCGAAAAAGTATAGTAGGTTCGCGTCGTGTCGACCGGCGGCGATCCCGCCGCGGGCGTTCAAGGTTGAACGCCACCGGTGGCCCAGGATCGGCCTACACGGAACGATCGGGCGATCGAGAAGCCGCCGATATTTCAAGGTTGCACGATCCACGCAGTGTCAGAAGCAAACAACGGGGTCGTCACAATACGACACTGCCGTACACGCACGAAACTAAACAAGTACACGGGCAGTGGACGTCCGAGCGATGGCGATCGACGGGGAGAGCGGGAGGAGCAGAGAGGCAATACCTTCCTGGTATCGCTCGGGCGTGTGCGTTTTTCCTCGGCAAGGACCATCGAGGCTATTTCGGGTCCTTTGACGAAAAAAGGTGCACGCACGTAACAGAACAAGTGCGCGGGCAGTGGACGTCCGAGCGATGGCGAGGCGGAGCAGGTGTCTCTCTGCTGTGCAGTCCAGGCGCTGGAGTAAGGACCTCTTTGCGCTCGGGAGGGGCTCCGGTCTTCGGGCCGCTCCTCGTCATCTCTGCAGGGGGGACCCGTTCGTGGCCCAGGCCCGCCGTGGCCAGAACAGGCCCTGCGCCCCATACCACGCGTCCCTTATGGTAGCGCGATGACCGTGCGGCGTCTGGGACCCTTCGGCGGCGAGCCCGGGGGGGAAGCGAGCAGGGGCGGGCCATCCCAGAAGGCTCGGAAGTCCCCCGGGCCTTCTGGGGAGTGTTCCATGCCCTCCCCGAAGACAGAAACAGAGCCTCTCAGAAGGCGCGGGGGCATCTGACAAGTCCCGCCGCCTTCTGAGAAGGCCTTCTCGTTCTCATTTCCCCCTTTCGCTCGCCGCCGAACCCTGGACGAGAACCCACGCCGCCCGTCTTCCCCGTCCTCGTCTTGCAGCAGCACCGCCCTCGTACCGCCCGCCCGCCCGCAGGGGCCCGTGCTCCCCTCGTTCTCCCTCAGCCGCCCGCCCGTCGCGGACTGGCCGCCGAGCTGTGGAAGATGCTGCTGAGGAGGAGGAGGAGGAGGAGGAGGAGGAGGAGGAGGAGGAGGAGGAGGAGGGAGGAGGGAGGAGGGTGAG